GGAGGGTTCTGAAGAGCTTAAAGATTCTGAACCTCACATGAGAACTAGAAACCAGGGTAGAAGGACAGCCTTTTACAATGAAGATGACTCTGAGGAAGAGCAAAGGCAGCTATTGTTTGAAGACACCTCCTTAACTTTTGGAACTTCAAGCAGAGGCAGAGTCCGAAAGTTGACTGAAAAAGCAAAAGCTAATTTAATTGGTTGGTAATTTTTACTTAGGGTTTTACTTCAGAATGCTATGAAGCAGGTACAGTTAAGGAACAGCAGAAAAGACTTCTGCTTCCCTGCTGCTATTATGGGTTAGAAGAGTATGTTCTGATTTGAGGAGAAAAATTTAGCAAAATGATAAACTGAAAGAACATTCTTTGAAAGAAATATATATTTTAAACTTTTGCTATTTATTGCCCTCCAAATAGGTTATACATTTCAACAGTCATTTTGTTCATGGTTGAGAATAATTGAAGCAATTTCTGACTGATGTACACAGTTCAGAGCTACTCTGCTCAAGTAGTATGTAATATCTCTACACAATTGAAAAATGGTAATAGAACTTTTAATTGCCACAAATTGAAAACGGAAATCTATTTTTGACCAAGCAAGGTACCCTTTGATTGTAAAGTCAAGTCACCTAGGAAGGCAGACTTAGGCAAAAAGTGTCAGTAAATTCACTTGCATTTCTATTAAATAATAAAATACCAAACTTTGCTAATCTGTAAAAGCTTAATTTCAGTTGTGATGGAACGTTCAGCTGCAAAAGAAGCCTAGCACAGGCCATGGTTTATCCAAGTTCTGCCAAACATAGCAAAAATGTAATCACAAATATATATATCCACATTGGAAAAAGTTTGACTAATGTCTAATTTTTCAGACCTTGATTCTTGTATCAATCACTAAATCTCTGTTTATTGTGCCAAAGACTGAGAATCAGTGCAGTGGAAAACCTTTTTTTCTTTTGAGTGTCAGTACAGCATACCATTTGCAGTGATAAAAACTGTGTCTTGTTTTAAATAGTAAGTTGTTAACATTGTTCTGAAATGTATCCTTTTTGGTACTTCTGGTAGAAAATAATGCACTGGTGGGGTCCTTTGACAGAGATGTTTTAGTCTAAATGTATAATTGGTTAAAGGATTCAAGGAAATTACAGGACAGGTATGGAATTATGATGTTTACTTTCTGATCCAGATTGTTGTTTCTACAACTTTAGACATGCTTAAGAGGCGGAAATGACCTACAAAGAATAGTGTATGTGTATATATTAATATATACATAAACACATATGTCTAAAATATTACCCAGGTATAAATTTTTTTCAGGATTTTTTAGATAGCACTAGAATTGAAAATTTTAAAATGTCATACTTTATAGTTTAATTTTAAGGGGAAGATTGGTTATTTTCAATTATTAGGGTTAAAGGCCAAATCACTTTTTATGCAATCATGTTTTATACAGTGGTCTCATTGCACATTGTGTTTTTCTGCACTTTTTATGGTATATCACGCTGACATATGTCAATATACATCCTAAAGAAAAATTCCATTTAATGATTGTGCCTTGTATTCTATTATTTCTTGCATCCTTACTAAAATTAAGTTGTCTATTGTAAATGATAACTATATGACTTAGGGGAATGTATTGTTATATGTACTGCTCTGGAAAAGAAAAGCAGTTATTTATTTGTTTATGGTACATTTAGTTATTTTATACCTTTACAAACAAACCGTAATACCATTTTCTATCATTTAAAAAAAGTATTGTCCAGTTTCAAGGAAAAAAATACATAAGTAGTGGTATTTACTGAGATCTGGTATGGTACAAAAATGTAACCAAAATTTTCTGGTTATACTTTTTTTTTTTGTTTTGACACATCATCTACAATGTCTGGAAGGGAAGACATGCAGAATTAAGATCTTAAATTTGCACAGATTCTGTATATGTATTTGAGGCCAGATTCTTCACTCTTTATTTTCTTACCAAAAAGAAGCCCAAAAGTATGAACAAAGAATATTGGTATTTGCCACCAAGAGTAATAGAAATAGGCTACTGTAGATAGCATATTAATATCCACCATACCTAGTTTTAGATAGTTCATTTTGCTACAAAAAATGGCTGAGAGATTTTCCAGATCCTCTTTGAATTGTTATGGATTTGAATTCGGGGGCCAGGGACTAGTTTGTATTTTATTTGTTGGCATATTTATTTTTTCTAATAAGTATTTCTTTATCATCTGATTAAAATGGAGTCACTAAACATATGGTAAGATAACAAGCTACGTTTGGACAGTTGCAATACAGCTTCACAATTCAAAACTAATTGATTCTGCTTGTTAATTTTGTCAAATCTCACTGATGAAGGCAATCATTTGAAAATGTGTAATTTCCTGATGTTATCTGCATTGTAATATATAAAATAGATTATATCTAAAATTCATCTTCTGTATTTACTCCATTTGTAATAATGTTTTATATGGCATGTTTATGTATATATTTATATATCAAAAATACTTTGTGTGTAAGTTTTGGAGACTGAAATAATCTACGTTCCCTTAACAGTAGGTAGAGGAGTGTACATCCTAACTTTACAAGGGTAGAAGGCCTTACCTGCCGAACATGAGTACTGCTTCCCACCCACTAATATCAGTGACTTTAGCCAGTAAGTTTTTGATTCTTATTAGAGACATTAATGTTTTTCCTTTAAAAATGAACTGTGGGTAATTTGGGTCAATTTTTTACAGAAGCAACCCTAGACATTTATTAGAAATTAATACCAGATTTATTTAAAAGTTATATTTTTTATAATTTAATTTCACTAGGTTGCAGACTTTATTTATGAGACTTTAGTCACCATCAGACTGTATTTTGGTTGGGGAAAAATTTATTATTTGAGGTGGTTGTGGGATACTGTATCAATACAGAAAAAGAGCTTTTGATTACAGAGTCTTAGGTTTTTAAATGCGAGCAATAAACTATTGGTTAGTGTTCTGAAATAATTTAAGATCTATAGTTATATGCATGTTTTATAATGCCATCTCAAGTACCTAACAACTGGTTCAGAAAATGGAGTATCGAAACCTCATGTGATTGTTTTACATTTGCATTGTAAATAACATAGCTTCATAGTCACATACATGCAAATGATCTGGCAGCAATTAACTCAGTTTTATTCATTAAATTCATTTATATTTGACATGGATATGAGGATACTGTTCTGGTACTTCTACGCTATACTGGGAAACGTTATAATTGGTATTTGCTGCTGAGTGGAATCTCGATAACAGTGTGTTCTTTAACTGCTGGTGAGGAAATACTTCTGCTTCTGTCATAAGTGTACTCTAAATGTTTAACAGGAATCATTGTACCTGTGCCTACATACTTAACAACTCTTTAGCCACTCTGTTTCTGTTGTTAGTGTGTTCTCTGGGAACTGAACTGAAATCTTACCACTGTAGTGTTCATTATTATTGTCAATATTGAACTAGAGCTCTTTGTCACTCGGCAATGACCAGTGATACAATTTTACAGAGAAATGTCTTCCTCCAGTGATTCAACTGCTGTGATAAAGATTTACATATGTTTATTTGTACAGTGTCTGGTTTGTACTTGTGATCAGTTCGTTGATAGACTTGTAAGGTTGAGTTGGTTGAGTTAACTATTACTATGGCTTAATATCTGTAAAGCTATTAATTGATAAAGGACCCTGATGCAGCACGTATAGATATTAATATCTATTAAAAATGTAGTGTAGAGACAGCTTATTCACTATACTGCTGTACAAATATTTTAAAGTACCAATTCTGTGCCAGAGGCTTTTGTCTTACCAAAAAAAGGACTACATGCAACACAAAAAATAGTCTGTCCGTTCAGTAATTTCAGGCTTGTTAAGATTTTTACACCACATTTTTAAGTATTTTGCTCACACTGTTGGATCGAGGACTACAAGTAAATGCTTTAGCGTGTAATTTGAATTTAGGGACATGTTAAATAGTTGATTGGTTTATAAAAGCAATAGGCTTAACTGTATGGGACTCTTTCACCCTGTATTTATATAGCAGATTGGAGGTTAGAGGTTTTTAAGCTCACTTTCATCAACATTCACATTTTATTTGTAGCATGTGAATCTTACTGAGGTAATTTTAACATCACTGGTCAATTAAAATATAGCCATACCACAATATTTACATTGTGTTCTGAGTCCTTACCTTATTCTAAAATAGCGTATTTCTGTTGACAGTAGATTGTCAAAGGTTTTTCATTTTGCCTTTTTTTTTTAACAGTGTTTTAAAATATTTACTTATAACTGTGCTACAGTGCTGTGATAGAGAAGGTAGAGGGTTTTGAAAACTCACCTAGAAACAGCAAAAGCTCATTTTCTGTTTATGACCTAAATGAAGACAAATGAACCGTGTAAAATGAGTATATATTTTCTTTTATCCCTGAAGTTCTTGTAAGAGTTTGGTTTCCAAGGGGACCTAGATATTCAACTGATAAAAGGGCTGTTAGTTTTCTGCTGTAAATTACTGTATATACATGTTTGTTCGGATGCAGAGGAAAGTGTATTACATTTCATAAATCTGGTCAAGTCTTGACAATGTGTTGCAAATAACAAATCTGGCATTGACAGCTTACGTAGCTTCTTGTTTTTGAATCGTGAATACAGCTTGCTCACTTTCCATGATGTCTACAGGAAAACAGCAGGTAGCTTTTAAACCAGAGCTAACCTCCAGATGCTCTTGTGTTTCTGCTGATTTTAATGCGGGAATTCGCCATGTCATTTTTACAGTGTGTTAGAGAAGGAAACATGCCAGGAAGCCAGATTAAAAGACACCTCAAATTGCAGAAAAAGGTGATTAGCTGCTTCCCCCTCACATCCCACCCACCCCCCCCCACCCCCCTTTTCCCAAGGTTCTAACAGCCTCAAGACACTCTAGAGAGAAACCTTATATGCTGCAATAAAATAAGGATGAATAAATTTAGCTTTTAAGAGGTATATAGTGAGACAACCAGTCATTTGGGTCCTTTTTAATGCAGATAAATACATCAGGAAATTCACTTCAAATAATGCAAACAATACATTTTAGGGAGGGAAAGTAGTACTATACTATGAATTTCTACACTGAAAGAACAAAGAATGAGGTCACACAAATTAGGAGTCGAAAGAAGTAGAAGTACCTGTCATGTACTGTGTGATGTACATGTACTATTTTGTGCTTACAACTGTGCAGGTTGGTTTGCTAATGCATTGAGACCATACAGAAGTTACATTTTTGGACCATACTAAAATTGCAGAAGTGTGGTGGACAACTGGATAATGATCATGCGTGAATAAATTCTGTCATAATGTTTCAATATGTATAGAATGGAGCTCAACTTCAAGTAAATTACCTAGAAAGGTTAATTTTAAAACTGACAGATTTTCAGATTAAAAATTACACTTATTTTGTACAGAATTATGTAAAACACAAATCTGTTGTATGTAATGAGTAACAGTTTTGAAAACTATAATTCTTTAGCTTTATCAAGGCTTTTTTCCTTCCAGAAATCTAGATTATCATGTTATATATAACCTGAAGTATCTCACCAGGATAACAGTGCCCTTTCTTTTTGTACATATGGATTGGAAATTTCTTTACTGTTATGTGGACACTTTCTATGTTAGTTTTGATGCATAATACTTTGAATCCTTTTATACAAACTAGAATGTATGTGTAAGAATTACTGTCACTGCAATGTAGTAACTACAAACTTATTTTTAAATAAATAGAAAACATGTTTTTCTAAGCTGTCCAACAGTGTTTGCTTCTATCTGGTAATTGACTGCAATGGGATGATTGGTGGTATGTTTTTTAGAACTCCCTAAATTCAGCTCCTCTTGATTCCTTGTGGAATATGGAGTAGCTGTATCTTGTAGTATGGTATAGCGGGTAAGTGGGAACAACAAAATTGGAACTTGAGCACTCTCTGATAGAGATCAGAATTTGCTATTTGGTAGGGGTTTTCACTAAGCCCTGCAGTTCAAGAGGCAATATAAAGGCAGTAGAGTCTGGCACTGAAGATACCTCATTGAGTCCTCTTAGCTCACTTTCACGTGTGCACCCAGGCCCTGCCTCTAACCCTCCAGGAAGCCTTCCCTGTTCAGGTGACAACTGTTTGTACCAGAGCTACGTCCAATCCATGGAAATGTCTGCTTCCCAACAGCTCTAGAAGATGCTAGAAACACTTAAGCAGAGAGAATCCCCTGCCTCCCTCCTGGTCTGCAGCCTAGCTACCCTGAGTGGGTGATGCAAGGAAAAGCAGACATAGGATGTGTTTTCACAAAACTGCAAGGTTGGTTTGTTTATATCTACATTTTTCTGTTCAATAGATGCAAGAAAAAAGAAATGTGGATTCTGTTTAATTTCACGTTATTTGCTTTATCAGATGATTTTTTCCTTAATTCCTTACCTGAAAACACAAGGAAGTGATGGGAGAGGCCCTTACTCACCTCACAGATGCAGGTATGTATGCTTCTGGGCAATGGGAATGTGGAATGGTCACAGCAGAATGAATTGAGTTCTCTGTGGTTTTCCAGACTCCACATGAAGACTGGCAAAAGTAAGACTTGTTTTAGCAATTGAGGAAAAACCTCTGTACCAAGCATGTGAGTTTTGCTCATTGGCACATTCTGCTTGGAGAAAATAATTTAAGAATACTGAAAACATGACACACTTTGGTGCTGCTGTTATGTCCTGGAGATAGTTCTGTTGAATGTACATTTCCAGTATTGCAGCACAACAGTAATAGTGGTGTGCTCATCCAAGCATAAGCCACTCCAGGTCCAGGATTTTAGTTTTGTTACTGAGAATAGTCTTAAGCAGTTAATAATATTTCCTTTGTTTTGAAAATATCTAAAAAATGTTTTTCCGTGTAACTCTGTAGAGAATCCTTAAAATACAATTGTATCCCTGTTCCCATTTCTATGACAGGTATCTTTTGGAATCCTACTGTGGTTCTTTCATTTTGTGCAGAAGTCAAGACTTTGCTTAGTATTAACAGATGCTGTGAAATGTTGGAACCTGACAATGCTGTTGGAACATGTGCTGATTTTAACACCCAGCTGGAAATTTAAACTCCAAACAAGCCACACCCCAGCCCCTGCCCCTTCCAGTAAAGGAGGGACAGAAGAGGAGAGACTATGGGTAGAGATAACAACTTACTGAAACACAAAATGATGGAATAAGACACCCACAGAAAGGTATTCACCACCAGGGACAAGAACAAAGGCAGTGGTGAACACTCTCCATGGGTCGTGTCCGTGTGGTTTTTCCAGACAAAGGCAATAGGATGATCATTCCTGCATGCTGCTCACATGGTAGCTGGGGAAACAAAGGTGGTGTGGTGGGGGAGCTCCCATGGCTAACATTTCCCAGCCCAAAATAATGGAAAACAGTGACAGACAAGCCCCGTGGAAGCTGGGTCATCTGAGTAGGGGTGGTGCCACCACTCTGCCGAGCTCAGCTCTATGCAAGTGCCTTTGCTGCCACTTCCAACACTCCTGTACACCAGGGCAGGGGAGGATAGTCCCACTGGGATGCCGGCTTTGCGCTGCCCCTGATCACTGTCCCTGCAGCACCACACACGGGAGCCACCCCACAGCCTCGCCTCAGCACCATGCCCCAGGAAGGTGTCCCAGGATGGAGTCCCCAGGTCCTTTGCTGCCACCCTTCTGCAGGAGTAGGAGAGGCCAAAGTGGCCATCTCCCAGTAAGGGTGCCTGGCTTTTCCTGCTGAGTCCAGGCCGAGGTGATGTGGTGTGTGCTACACACTAACAACTTGGTCGCATCCACACTGCTAAACTCCATCCCCTCTCTAACCAGGACTGATCATAATGATCATTTAAACAAAGGGAATTGTATGATCATTGAAGTTGACCAGTTTGCTTTTAAAGTGAAAAGTTTTTGTGCCAAAGCCAGTGTTCACCGCTCTAGCAATCAATATGAGCTTTGCAAAAAAATCTTTGTCACTTTCCCCAAAGATAAATGAGCAAAGAGTAATGGCTTTAAAGATTAATCAATGTTGTTAGTTGAAGCAAATGTGAAGATAAAGCAAGTGCCAGCAAGCAATGGACAATATGTCTAGAATTTAAATAGCAAAAATTTGAGTTACTGTACAACAAATTATAATGCAAAATATAATTTTTGTGGCTTTTACTATTGTTAACAGGAAACTCAAAGCCCAAAATGTCTGGTTGTTTTTCTAGCACAGAGAAATATGTGCTAAGAAATCCTTGCAAGAGGCTTAATTTACTGTTTGACAGGACTGTAGTGAGAATTTATGAATCTTCTCTTATACTTTGAAATCTGTGTGAGTGCTGAAGGGAGGACACGGTAGAGAATTTGGGAATGATGTTCTTAGTCTTGTAACAGCCATACAAATTTCCTTTCTGCTTCCTTTTCTTGTCTCTGAAATGGGAAGATTTTACCCAAACTTCATCTGTTGGCCTTTCATTTTACCATTTTACTTTAGCTAGATAAATAAATACAAAAAAAAAAAAAAAAAAAAAAGAAACCAAACAAAAAACCAAGAAGGAGGAAGCAAGAGGCAAGTAACCAACTCATTCAGCATCAAATTTCTGCAGAGGCCTATTCCTGGAGGTACTGACTTAAAACAATGTTAGCATTCAAGAGCCAGGCAACCTCAGCTGTAAATTTGTGTTTTGTCTCATATCTCAGAATCTGACTTTGAACAAGGATATTCAACATAATAAAGATAGAACTTAAAATGCAAACCTGGTTAGAATATGATTAAAATGTTAGAAAGAATTACTATATTTGTATTCAGTAGCAGAGAAATCTAGTGGGGCTATTTTTTTGAAATTTGAGCACCTTATTCAAAACTTAAATTCTCTTAACTATTAAGGAAGATGAAGTAAGCTTCCCTGAACTGCTAGGTTATGGACTACACCTGTCAAAAAAAAAAAAAAAAAAAAAAAAAGAGCTACTAGGAAGTCCTTAATTAGTGATTGCCTCTGAATACACTGCCTATTTTTACCCAGCTACAATATCAACATGAGGAGCTGGGTATATCTACAGTCTGTACTGTTGTCCTCACTGACACCAATCAGTCTGCATGCACAAGTACATGGGGAAATAGTAAATATCTGGAACTCAAAACATTTATTGTGAAGTGTTTGAGGCTGTAAAATGTGTGCTAATGTTAAACTCTTCTGATCAATAAAGTTTACAAGGGAAATCAGTAGTTAAGTTATTTAGAAAAAGTTACTAGAAAACTCACACAAGCATTGTCTTAAGAAAGGGCAGATCATCTGAAATTGTGTTGTGGTTAGGATTGCTCATTTTTTCTTGCATGCTAATGTATAAAGTTGCAATTTTCCTTTGGCTTTGGCCTCTTTGCCCACCTGAGTCATGACAGAGCACACAGGGCTGGTTTCTTTCTGACTCTTGCACTGAAAATCTCCACTCAAGCACATGGGGAGTAACGTGTTTTGTAAAAGAAGCATCTTCATCTTTCAATTTTATTTACTTTATATTAAGATGTCTTAATGTTTGGGCAGTAATATGTTGCCTGAGTAGGACTTTAAAACCTTCAGCCTCCCTGTGGAAGGATCAGGTGCTTACATGGCACCTGAGGTTTTGTTCAAGGGAGTCAGTAGGTCCCAGTATTTACTGCAGCCTGGGCTGGTGTGATGCAAACACAGCCACGATGGCCCCAAGGGTCTGCTCTCCTTGGGGTGGGCTGCGTGAGGCAGATAGGTTGCTCTGAACAATGATCTAGCTGAAGATGTCTCTGCTTATTGCATGGGAGTTGGATTAGGTGTCCTTGAAAAGGTCCCTTCCAACTCAAATGGTCTATGATTCTATGATTAAAAAACAGTTTTTCTTAGGTAGAATTTGTATTTCTAGTCTAGGCTAGTATTCATGTGAGTTTTCAGTTGGACATTCCTGCCATGTTGCACAGGTTTAAATCCATCCTAGGCCTGGCCCCTTAGTTCCCACATGTTCACTAGGTATGCCTTGATAACATTTTTGATTTTTTTCAGTCTTGCCTTTTGGAGAGTTGTGCTCAGTGAGAAGTGATGGCTAGAGCATTTCCTTTCTCTTGGTAAAGCTCCATGTTTGCTGCTGATGAATTTCTCTTCTTGTCTATACTGTTCTTGCTGCTCCAATCTCTCTGAATCATTCACTATTTGAGTCTGCTTCCTCTGTTTGCTCCCACTCTGAGCGCCATCAGCAAGTCTGGTTGCTGTTGAATTTAGACCACAGAAATCTGTGACACAGATGAGGCTCATGGCCGGGTTTGCCCCCCTGCAGCAGCCCAGCAGGGGCAGCCCCGGAGTTTCTGTTGGGCGCTGACACGTGTGCTACGGAAACTACTCGGGATGTTCCCGCTTCAGCTGTGCCGGCATCCAGCTGTGCCAAAGCCGGGCCCAGGGGCCGCACCAGGTGCTCTCTGAAGTACCAACAGCGTTTTGAGAGGCACGACATAAGGCTTGGTTACAGGGCTGTGTTACGACATATTTTGCATAAACTTCACATGAGAGAGCTACCACCGGACTTCTATTCACAGCCCGTTCAAGCCACTTGTCCATTCGCATCCACAGAAAAAAATACCTAGGTAAGAAAGTTGAAAATGTTACTCTCTTTAAGTTAGCCTCGGAAATAAAGTAGAACTTTTTATTTCTTCATTTTAATATTTCTAAAACTGTCAGGGTGTAAAGTCCACGCGGGTGTTTGTTGCATTTTGAGACGAAGAAATCCTGATCCCTTCTGCCCTGAGAGCTTTTTGTGCGATAGACGGACAAGAGCTGGGGACAACCTCCCCACCCGGCTGAGAGCCTGGCCCGGGCTCAGGCTCGGTGCTCGCCTCTCCGGGGTCCTTGAGGGCGTTGCTGTGCAGGGGAGAGCACAGCCGCTCCTGAGGGGCCGGGCCGGGAGCTGGGGGCTGCGGCTCCCCCGGGCGCTGCCGGCTCGGGGGATGCAAACACAGCGCGCCTCTTGCAGGTGGTCGGGTGCTACCAAATATGCACAAAAATGTTTTGATTCGGGCTACCGCATCCTTTCTGTCTGGGGGATCCGGCTGCTCAAAATGCCGATTTTAGAGACGGGAGGAAGATGTGCAGCGGCAGAAGTTGTACTGCCGTACTCTGTAAGTGCAGAGGGCAGCGCGGTTGCGATCCCCGGGTCCTGTCCAGCTCTCCGGCCTCGCAAGGTGCTCATGGCTATTTGGTAGAACTGTGACTCTTCCTCCCCCAGCAACACACAAGGCTAACCAAGTACTCTACAACTATTGACAACGACTAAAAGGAGATTAGGAGATGTTTTTTTCTTTACTGGTAGCTCTAAAACAGATTATGCAGAAGTTAAAAATACAGTTTGTGGTTAAGGCTTCATCACACACTAAGATGTTTCCATATTGCTTACAATATTCTTTGAACATTGTTTTGTGATCTTGACTCCTTTTGTTGGGCAGTTTTCATAAGTCTACCTTCCCATGTGCACATGTGCTGTGTATATTACAGTAACCCAAATTATTTTGCGTATTGCATAAATTAGGACAGCAGGATCTAGAAGCAACTTGGACACAACTGTGAATTGCTTCTGCTTGCGGGCTGAGTATCCCACTCCAGGAGAGAGCAGGAGCTGCAACAGCTGCTCCTGGAGAACAGACAGTGGGTGAATGCTGCAGTAAACCTGGGTACTCTGAGAACACCTGTGAAAAAGACACAAGTCTCAAATTTCAGCACATCTTAGTTCTGATTTGAAAAAGCCTCACAAATGTAAAGACAATAAATGTGCTGCTCAGGTGAAGGTGAATATCTTGATAATTTGAGAAAGGAGGAAAGAGCCATGAATATGCACTGGTATAGTGTTTCAGGTGCCTATGGGAATGAGAGGTGATCTCAAATCGTTTTTAATCTAGTGGGACTGTGGCACATTATCAACCTGGTACAATGCTGTAAGTGCCTTCAACCTGAAAGAAAAGCCCCTTAGTTCTGTCAGATGTGCAATTACCACTGAATCTGAACAGATTATTTTTGAGGTCGTCAGTCTAGTATGCCAGATATGTTTAACGCACTGGACCAGATGACAAAGCAGCACAAATTTGGTTCACGGACAGCAGCTTTTTACTGCAAATTGGACAACCATACAAATTCCCAGCTCCTTATTCCCTCCCCCCCCCCCCCCCTATTTACAGACAAAAGAGATGCCTGTATAAATCTTAAAAGCAGGTTTTTGCTGTCTTGTGTACTTTAGTCTTCTATTAGCTTTTATAAGTACCATGAAATTTAATGCAGTTAAAGTGGCTTAATTAAGTGTGCTCCAGCTGTAACCAAACTGTAACCAAAATGCCTGAGTACAAATTGTACATAATGTTGTGAACCAACAAAGCAACCTGAAGGAAGCTTTCAAGTTCTACACATCTAGCAAAGCTCACAGCTATGTTTTTTGTCTCTTTTAAAAATTTTTTATCTTCCTCTTTTCAGAGTAGGGAGCGGTGAAGTATCTTTGACAAAACTTCCTGTTGGAACGCCTCACATCAATGCAGCTGCAGCTCTGCAGATTTCCATGCTGCTTTTTGTTCTTCCTGCACAGTATCTAATATCTCAGTGGTATGGAACGGACTCTGCTGAGCGCATCCAAATAACAGAAAGGTTGTAAGATGCACCTTCCATACTGCATTTATTTGTAAGAGAGTTCTCTTCCTCATCCCCAGTGATACTTTGAAAGCTGAAGTGTGGGTGGATTGGCTATTCCTATACAAAACCAAAATTTCAACCCCACCTTGGGCATTTTTGTGCCTTAATATGACTGTATTTAGTTTCAAAATTCAGTTAGCAATTGTTGATTTCTTCACATAAAAATCTTATTAATCTGCATGAGTGCCTTAATCTCATTCTTTTTTTGGACAGTCCAGTATATGTTTACTAACGGTTATGTCCCTTTCAAAAGATGAAAATTAAGCATTTGATTAAGTAACATTAGTTCTAATTTTCCATCACCTTTTGACATTTACTGTTATATTTTCTTGCATAGTGAGTGAGAATCAGTACAAACTCTTAACCAACAATATTCATTCACAGTAAATTACTTAAGGCAGTGACAATGACAAGAGCTAAGTAAGGAGTGCCATTTTGTCTATGAATTAGGAAGCTGTGTATTGACAGAATCCCACACATATATTTCCAAATAAAAAGTGGAGACTATTACATCAGATCCAAATTTTTATAACGGCATCCATTGGCAAACATTGGCATCTTGAAAATGAACCATGCAAAGAGAGACTCAGTTGTACATGTGGCCTGTGCAGCGCAGTGGTTGTGTGGTTCATCTGTGGGATTTCAGTGCATGAAGCAGGAAGAGCAAAGGATTGGTCTGATGAAAAGAGAACTAAGCTTGGCTTATGCATAAAAACCCAGAATGAAATAATTTTCAGGTCTCATGGAATGAGTCAACCACTTATTATTTAGATTTATGCAAAAACCTCTAGGCTTTTTTAATAGTCTTTTGATTATATACACCATTTTAAAAATATCTCATGCTCTCTATTCTCAAATAACAGTTGAAGCTGCAGAATCTGAATGTAATGTAATAATTCCTATGGTCCAAGTACAGGAAGAAAGCAATCTTGTAATGAAAAATGGTATTTTCCAAAATTTACATATGGTTTACTGGTACAAGTGATGATTGAAAGAATATTTGTTTGCAGTGTTAATATTAATCTTGAGGAGAAATTGTTCACAGTCACTAACCCTTTCTTTCTCTTTGCTACAGAAGTGAAACTTTAAATATTAAAAATCTATATAAGAATACTAGAGAAGGTTTTAAAAACAATATGATGATAATTTTTACTCCTAAAGGATAATTGCCTCTTGGAGCATCTCAACAAGATCTTAGTTAAGTCTGGATGTGTGGGCAGATTGTTTAAAGCTGTGGCTCTCAAAGACAAGGTAGGGTGTTACTGTCTGCACCAAGGAGATTTCAGCCATGGTCTGTTCTGAGCAGGAAGGTGTGCTGTGGAGGAAGTAAGTGACAAAGAGGAAGTATCTCTTATTTGCTTCTTCAGACTGATCTGGAACTTTCTACACAAACATCAAAACTGAACTCCATGTAAAACTAAACGTAATTCATGGCAGTAATCCTGTACATGCTATCCTCTGAAATGTATCTGACTCTGAAGGCAGAACAATTAGCCAAATTAATGACTGTAAGCAACTACATGTTTTTAGGATCAGATGCTTTAGCATTGGATGGATATCTTATGCTGTATATTGTAGTTCAAGAAAATCTGAATTAGGAATTACAGACAGAAAATCTGTGGGCTAAGAAGTAGTGAAATTTTGATTATTTGCCATGTTACAGTGAATGGTCTAGAAAAAGTAAAATTATATCCATTCATACATACACACCATTTTAATTTAAGAAGACTTCATGGACTTCTTTTGGTTCATTGAAGGGCTTATTTGTGAGATTTAATTCTTGTAATAGTAGAAATACTCCAAAGGTTTTACTTTGTATGAACCTTCAGAGGTCCTTTATTCTTGATCCATGTACAATAACCAACAGTGTCAAGTCCTCTGAACTGTGGAGGATCCTGACTTAGTTTTTGCTCCCAGCAAAACCTAGGGGAATGGTCTATGAAGGGAATCAGAAACTGTGTTCTTCTTACGTTCACCATAAATTGCTTCTCAATTTTGTGGAAAGCTCCATGCATATCTAAAGATTAAGCCTGCAAAGATAAATGATCTATTGATTATCTGTATATAGTTAGAGCTGTTTGTGTCTTCTGAATATTTTATGAAGAATTGGTTATCCTAAAAATAATGCCGAGACCTTTTATGTTAGCTGCTGTTTTAACAAAGCAGTTAGACACGTTAAGATTTTGTCCATTCCTTTCTGTTAAGAGGTAACTGTCAGCCTTAAGTCTTTCTACGCATTTGAGCTAAACCAAAACTTTTGTAAAAAACACTGCTTGCATGGAAACCTGCTCTCACTTTCCTCCAGGCAGGGTGAAGGGAGTAAGAATGAAAGACACTATCAAAGAGGAAGGAGATAGGACAACCTGTAGTTCTTTGGCACCAATGGTTTGCTGACTAGTATGGATGTAGAGTGTTACCCAAACACCTTTGTTCATGGACTGTTGCTGTTACATTGCCAGCAGAAGGAAATGTTCCATTTTCTCATTCTTTACACATTTCCCCTTTCTAAATATGTCTGTCCCCTACTGCCCGCCTTTTAAATTCAGATGAAATTCAGTCTAGTGCAGAAGCTACACCTACTGCAGCTTTAGACAGGGACTCATCACCAGACACCTTGTCCATACCAGTATAAACCAATTCTAAAAGACTTTACAAAAGATACTGAAGAATCATGCTGTTAGAGTGCAGAATAGTGTTTGCACACCTCTATAAAATTAGTGGGTTTCCTCTGATATAAAAATTCTAATGCAACTATAGAGTAACGTATTAAAATAAATTAGATTAATACTCTTATTTTCCTGTTGGAACAAATTCCTTTTTCTTGTGCATTCCTTTAAAGTGTTTTTAATGTAAAACTCACGCGGGCTTCAAATTGTAGAGAAGTTTGTATCAAAGGCTTTGCAGTATCCCACT